ATCTCCCTATTTCAAGGGATGAATCAACACTAACGTTCAGTCGTGTGTGTATGTCCCTATTTCAAGGGATGAATCAACACTAGCGTTCAGTCGTGTATGTATTTCCCTATTTCAAGGGATGAATCAACACTAGCGTTCAGTCGTGTATGTATGTCCCTATTTCAAGGGATGAATCAACGCTAGCGTTCAGTCGTGTATGTATGTCCCTATTTCAAGGGATGAATCAACACTAGCGTTCAGTCGTGTATGTATGTCCCTATTTCAAGGGATGAATCAACACTAGCGTTCAGTCGTGTATGTATGTCCCTATTTCAAGGGATGAATCAACACTAGCGTTCAGTCGTGTATACGTTCCTTTTTTTTTTTTTTATTGTTGATTTAATGCCACATTTACTAGCTGCATTTTTGTGTCTCTTTTCTGGGCCAACAACCGAGCCATGACCAATGCACATCTACATATGATCATGACCAATAGGTAGCCAACATGAGCAGAATGTAGCTCCCCTCTCACTGCAAATATCTACAATATTGTCGGTAGATGTGTAGTTCTAATGAAAGTGCCTTATTTAAATTACAGCCTTCTGGTGTATACCGCCTTTTTTAACAGAACGGGAGTTAAAGAGTGTTGACGTTATAAGTGTGAGGATACGACATAACAGGTCAACCTATCTCTAATTCCGTCGTTATCTGACATGATGACTTCTCGCCAGTTCCGTTCATCAATCTAGTCTCCTACAATAGTTTGACCGACACTCCTGCACCATCAACGTTCAGCGCTCAGCACTGGTCTCTCGGTGAAGACAATGACGTCATGCTCGGACAACCGTCGCCATCTGTAGCTGTGGTTGTGAACACAGTTTGCTATTTCCCATATATCAAAAGCTAAAAGTCAGCCGACGACAATTTGGCAGCTCACCGGTATGCACTAATTTCGACTTCCGAATAAACGTTCACACGTACAGAGAACCATGCCAAACTACTGAGCCTAAACATTCACACGTACAGAGAACCCTGCCAAACTACTGAGCCTAAAGGTTCACACGTACAGAGAACCATGCCAAACTACTGAGCCTAAACGTTCACACGTACAGAGAACCATGCCAAACTACTGAGCCTAAACGTTCACACGTACAGAGAACCATGCCAAACTACTGAGCCTAAACGTTCACACGTACAGAGAACCATGCCAAACTACTGAGCCTAAACGTTCACACGTACAGAGAACCATGCCAAACTACTGAGCCTAAACGTTCACACGTACAGAGAACCATGCCAAACTACTGAGCCTAAACGTTCACACGTACAGAGAACCATGCCAAACTACTGAGCCTAAACGTTCACACGTACAGAGAACCATGCCAAACTACTGAGCCTAAACGTTGGTAGTTAGATCAACAATAAAGAAAAAAAAAAGGAAACAAAAACTGAAGTTGTTTTGCAGCGATTCGTAAACGATAAGCTATGCGAATAGTATTTACTATCACACACACACACACACACACAAACACATACATTAGACATGACATAAACAGACAGTAACTGACTAGTATAGCAGTGACGGTGTGACCTGGCAATGACGAAGTGACCTGGCAGTGACCGTGTGACCTGGCAGTAACTGAGTGACCTGGCAGTAACTGAGTGACCTGGCAGTAACTGAATGACCTGGCAGTGACGAAGTAACTTGGCAGTAACTGAGTGACCTGGCAGTAACCGAGTGACCTGATTGTGACTGAGTGACCTGGAAATGACGCACTGACCTGGCAGTAACTGAGTGACCAGGCAGTAACTGAGTGACCTGGCAGTGACGAAGTGACCTGGCAGTAACTGAGTGACCTGATTGTGACTGAGTGACCTGGAAATGACGCACTGACCTGGCAGTAACTGAGTAACCAGGCAGTAACTGAGTGACCTGGCAGTTACGAAGTGATCTGGCAGTAACTGAGTGACCTGGCAGTAACTGATTGACCTGGTAGTGACTGAGTGACCTGGAAATAAGTGAGCGACCTGGTAGTGACTGAGTGACCTGGTAGTGACTGAGTGACCTGGTAGTTACATAGTGACCTTTTAGTGACTGAGTGACATGGTAGTGACTGAGTGACCTGGTAGTGACTTAATGACCTGGCAGTGAGTTAATGACCTGGCAGTGAGTTAATGACCTGGCAGTGACGGTATGACCTGTCAGTGAGTTGATGACCTGGCAGTGACTGAATGACCTGGCAGTGACAGAGTGACCTGGCAGTGACTTAATGACCTGGCAGTGACCTAATGACATGGCAGTGACTTAATGACCTGGCAGTGACCTAATGACCTGGCAATGAGTTAATGACCTGGCAGTGACATAATGACCTGGCAGTGACTTAATGACCTGGCAGTGAGTTAATGACCTGGCAGTGACTTAATGACCTGGCAGTGAGTTAATGACCTGGTAGTGACTTAATGACCTGACAGTGAGTTAATGACCTGGCAGTGACTTAATGACCTGGCAGTGAGTTAATGACCTGGCAGTGACTTAATGACCTGACAGTGAGTTAATGACCTGGCAGTGACTTAATGACCTGGCAGTGAGTTAATGAACTGGCAGTAAGGTAATGACCTGGCAATGATTTAATGACCTGGCAGTGACTTAATGACCTGGCAGTGACCTAATGACCTGGCAGTGGCCTAATGACCTGGCAATGACTTAATGTCCTGGCAGTGACTAGGATGTTTTCCCTCTGCCCACAGTCAGAGGCTCCCCTGATCGTGCGGCCCTACCTGCCAACGGTAACCAGGTCCGAACTGCACGCCATCATGACCTGTGGCTTCTCCAGCATTTCCGGGGCGTTTATGGCCATGTTTATCAAAGCTGGGGTGAGTCATTTGTAAAACTGTTTCACTATATCACCAGGGCTATGAAATGATGACAAAGCTAGCGTCCTTGGACGATGAGCTGTTTAACGTTCTATAGACATGCACATGTGATATTGTGTTATTTAAAGTTTAAGGAGGGGCGGAAGAGGAAGGCGGGGGGTGGGGGGTGGACAATTGCAGACAGGTTAGGAAATGAGCCTCTCAGCAAAATCATGTTAAATACATGCGGTGACAACAATGATGGTGAAATCCTCGGGTACGTATAGTTGTGAAAGACTTCTCTAAAGGGTTTTGCTAGTCACACTCGCCATCGGCATGGGCTGTCAGTCCCAGATCACCCCATCATGAACAAAAGTAAGGTCTCCTTTCCATGCATCGATCACTTGAGGCTAAACTTATATTTCGTTGATACCACCCTTAATGGGTGTTATCGTCAACTTCCCGCCGGCAACTTTTATTTCCCATGACTTTGCAAGGTGCCCATTTAGGGTTGGTTTACCTGGGAGCCGAGGTGGTATTTGAAACAAAACAAAACACGGTTGCTTGCAGGTTTGAGCCCACGAACTTTGCATCCTCGTGCCAGCATCTGGCTTCTACACCATGGCGCGGCGCTCATGTCTCCCTATAACGGGATGTAAGATTACCGTCTGGAAAGAGCAACGTTAATTGGCAATAATCAATTAATAAGCTGGTCAGTCTATCTATCGTTTTATCCAGCCCGTCGGTCTATTTCCATGTCTCTGTCTGTCTGTCTGTCTGTCTGTCTGTCTGTCTGTCTGTCTGTCTGTCTGTCTGTCTGTCTGTCTGTCTGTCTGTCTGTCTGTCTGTCTGTCTGTCTGTCTGTCTGTCTGTCTGTCTGTCTGTCTGTCTGTCTCTCTGTCTGTCTGTCTGTCTGTGTCTGTCTGTCTGTCTGTCTGTCTGTTCATCCATACACCTGTCTATCCACTCAAGCACCAGCCAACCACTTGCTGACGGCCTCCGAGATATCGGCCCCGGACGGCCTGGCTGTCTGTCTGTGTGTCTGTCAGTCTGTCTGTCTGTCCGTCGTTCTGTCTGTTCATCCATACACCCATCTATTCACGCAGGCACCAGCCAACCACTTGCTGACGGCCTCGGTGATATCAGCCCCGGCCGGCCTGGCCATCTCCAAACTGATCTACCCGGAAGTGGAGACGGTCAACTACGCCAGTCAGAGGGATGTCAAGATGCGCGACAGTTCAGGGTAGGCTGTCTGTCCTCATCATCGTCACCATCATTATCAGCATCATCATCATATTATGCTTGAACCATTTATACTGAGCTTTGCTTTACAAAACTGTCGATCCTGCACTATTACCACACCCTCTCTCTCTCTCTCTCTCTTTCTCTCTCTCTCTTTCTCTCTCTCTCTCTCTTTCTCTCTCTCTCGTCTTTGAGTCTCTCCTCTCTCCTTTATCTCTCTCCATCTCCCCCTCCCCCTCTCTATGTCTCTAACCTTTTCCTCTAGATTATCTGCATCTATCTCTATTTTCCTTTTACCCTCTGTGTCCACTCTATCTTTTCTCTGTATCTCTACGACTTGTTTCCCCTCGCGTTTCACCGTTCCCTCTCGTCTTTCATTGCTATCTCTATAGTCTCTCTCTTTGCCCCGTTCCTGTATGTCGCTCTCTTTTCTCTCTTCCCTCTCCCTCTTGGCTACATTTCTCCCACCCTCACCCCGTCTTAATCTTCCTATCTGATCGAACTTGTTTGCACTGACAGAATAGAGTGTAGAATAGAGTGGAGAATGCGATCTCAGAGCTCATTAGAGAACTGTACAGACTGACCTGAAATTTATACAAGACACTTATGATAGAGACATGCACTAAGGCGCGCGTACAGATAACTTATACATACTCAAACGCCACGCACTAGAGAAAATACACATGCTCATACTTTCTAGGCTAAAAGTTAAGCAGAAACCTTCAGTGCGAACAATCATGTTATCGATCTATAGCACCACAAATAGTTCATCTTTTAGTTAATTATTTGACAATTGCTTCAACTACACTAGCTAATTCCCCAGTACGGACCCCAGTTCACGCATTTAAGTATTATATATTAATTACAGCTAGTGTATTTGGTGTATATGATACATTCAATGTACTTAATGTAGCTGGTGTATTTCATACATCATTGGCAGGGAATCAAGAAACGTTCTGCAGGCCTGCTCTGATGGTGCTGCCTTCTCCATCAAGCTGATCGGCTCAATTATGGTCAACATGCTGGCATTCGTGTCTCTGATGAACCTGGTGGACAGTCTGCTGGTGTGGGCTGGTGATCGCGCTGGGGTGGACAATATGACTTTTGATGTGAGCTGACCATCAACATCATCATCATCATGGTCGAAATCCATATTCCAATACAGTCACAAACATATCTTATGTGCTGTGGTAATCTATTGCTAAAGGGACAGAGGGTTTGATTTCATGGCATCTGCATGTATCTGGCACGAATAGGTCTATTTTTGGTTGACCCCCCCCCCCCCTCTTTTTCCTTTTTTCCACCCCCCCCCCCCTTCCATAATCCTGGAAAACATGGTAGCGATGGGAATGAGGAAGACAGGGGAAAACTATCACATTCTCATCGGAAGACACCTACGATTACGGCCGAAGAAACGCTCTCTAGGGCGGACCGAGAGGAGAGGGACGTTCTGTAAAGTACGGATAAGCTAAATATATAATTGTTTCTTACGTATAACATTTAACCTTAACGCTAAATATGAAAGCAACATACGAGCTTCAAACCTCACAGTGAAAAATTTGAAGGCATATTTCTCCAGACGTAGTACCAAAGTAGCAACTCAGTGGTGCTTGTGCGCCAGAGCTTTGTTTCTCCTCTACAAGCTCATAAACTAGTGGAGTGTGCAAAACAGCTACTGGAAGTTCGCAGGTGCGTGGGGTATATTCGGATGTAGCATAGTTAGGATTCAGTATGTGTCGCCCGCAAAGACTTGATTAAGTTTGTTTTAACTCGGTAATTTGTGTACACATTAGGCTTAAAGAATTGTATTTCATTTTGCTCCAATTAATTTCCAAGAAAACAATTTGAGTTCGAATCGTGCAGATACAAATTACGAGTACATACTGCAACATGGGTGACGTGGTGTAGTTCGACCAGCCCACTCGGTTCGTTACTATAGTTATTATTTTTTATAATGAACAAACGGATAAGGTATTGAACGGAATGAATACACTGTTGTAAAAAGATACACTCGAAAACATAAATATCCACAGCATAAGCTACCAAGCCAACTTGTCACCTCATAATTACGAAAGCGCCTCGATGCAGAAATAAGTTTACTAAGAGCAACCAGTCACCTGTTTAAACCGTACTGTATGCTGAGATCAACAAATCATGTGAGTCTAGTATTACTTACGTGCTTTTTTTCCCCTCATCCCCATCTTTATAAGTACATCGGTTCGTTTGACCTTTTCGGTACTTCTAGTACCACTCACCGATTTGTCACAGAATAATACACACACACACACATATACATATATATATATATATATATATATATATATATATATATATATATATATACATATATATATATATATATATATATATATATATATATATATATACATATATATATATAAATATCCTCCGAATAACCGGCACATATTATGTTGGCCAAAAACAGGCCCTCAGTCACATGTAAACTGCGAACTTCCGGCGGCGACTTAATTTGCGGACTTCTGGCGACTACTGCCACCGCCGAGAGTATCCCCCATGCTGCTCACGCGGCGGTGGTAGTAGTCGCCAGAAGTGCGCAATTAGGTCGCCGGAAGTGCGCAATTAGGTCGCCAGAAGTGCGCAATTAGGTCGCCGGAAGTGCGCAATTGACATGTGACTGAGGCCCTGTTAGGGTGTTTTTGCGGCCGTTATAATATGTGCCCGTTGTTCAGAGGATAGCCTATATATATATATATAGCTCTAGTTACACAGCACATCTGGACAACTACATTTTCAGCATAATTTCCAATATTTGATTCGAGCAGCTAAAACGACACGTGTGTTTATAAACTAACATGTGTGTGTTTGTAGCTGATCTGCTTCTACGTGTGTGTGTTTGTAGCTGATTTGCTCCTACGTGTGTGTGTTTGTAGCTGATCTGCTCCTACGTGTGTGTGTTTGTAGCTGATCTGCTCCTACGTGTTGTGTGTTTGTAGCTGATCTGCTCCTACGTGTGTGTGTTTGTAGCTGATCTGCTCCTACGTATTGTGTGTTTGTAGCTGATCTGCTCCTACGTGTGTGTGTTTGTAGCTGATCTGCTCCTACGTGTTGTGTGTTTGTAGCTGATTTGCTCCTACGTGTTGTGTGTTTGTAGCTGATCTGCTCCTACGTATTGTGTGTTTGTAGCTGATCTGCTCCTACGTGTGTGTGTTTGTAGCTGATCTGCTCCTACGTGTTGTGTGTTTGTATCTGATCTGCTACTACGTGTTGTGTGTTTGTAGCTGATCTGCTCCTACGTGTGTGTGTTTGTAGCTGATCTGCTTCTACGTGTGTGTGTTTGTAGCTGATTTGCTCCTACGTATGTGTGTTTGTAGCTGATCTGCTCCTACGTGTTGTGTGTTTGTAGCTGATCTGCTCCTACGTGTTGTGTGTTTGTAGCTGATCTGCTCCTACGTGTGTGTGTTTGTAGCTGATCTGCTTCTACGTGTGTGTGTTTGTAGCTGATCTGCTCCTACGTATGTGTGTTTGTAGCTGATCTGCTCCTACGTGTTGTGTGTTTGTAGCTGATCTGCTCCTACGTGTTGTGTGTTTGTAGCTGATCTGCTCCTACGTGTTTTGTGTTTGTAGCTGATCTGCTCCTACGTGTTGTGTGTTTGTAGCTGATCTGCTCCTACGTGTTGTGGCCACTCTCTTATGTGATGGGCGTGCCCAGCCAGGACTGTGGCAAGGTCGGGTCACTGATTGGTGTCAAGATGATGGCAACACCTTTTGTCGCCTACCGCGACCTTGGAAATGTAATCAAGGTAATATCATTGACTTATCTGTTGTACATTCACTCCAAACCTGCATCTGATCTTGCATGTGTGAAACACAGTTGCTAGTTACAACAGTGACGTCATGGACTTGGGGAAACGATCACATGTGACCCGCCTTTCGGATCCCATCCCGAAGTGTAAAGATTTTAAAGACTCAAAGACGACTATCTCTACGCCTAACTCGTACTGGCAATTCAATAATTGCACTTATTTCATGTTAAATAGACTCATAAGAAGCTGTAATGTGCAGTATCAACAGAAACAGGTATCATACAAAATTAAATAATTCATACATGATACCCTTGTGCCATTTGATGTCACACTTGGCTCCATTCCGACATTCGGTCTGATCCTTTCAGTTATATATCATGGATGGGATACAATTATTAGGTAAAAAGAAATATTACCCATACAATAATCAGGTGTGCAGGCATCAACATTATCATACAATCATTGGTAGTGTAGACAGAAACCTGCATCAAACAATCATTAGTAGTGTAGACAGAAATCTGTAACATACAATCATTAATAGTGAAGACAGACTCCTGTATGATACAATCATTAGTAGTAAAGATAGAAACATGTAACGTACAATCATTAGTAGTAAGACAGAAACATGTAACATACAATCATTAGTAGTAAGACAGAAACATGTATCATACAATCATTAGTAGTGCAGACAGAAACATGTATCACACAATTATTAGTAGTGAAGACAGAAACTGGTATCATACGATCAATAGTAGTGAGGACAGGAACCTGTATCATACAATCATTAGTGGTAAAGACAGAAACTTGTATCACACAATCATTAGTAGTGTTGAGATAAACATGTATCACTGAGTCAGATGTAATACAGTCAGAGGGAAGCATGCACCTTACAGTCATAAAGTTTGTCCCTAGAAAATTGGCTCATACAAGAACATGAAAACGTATTTGATCTTCCCAGAACCGACTTGTACTGCTAGAATACCTCAGCACGAGTAACGGCACCTGGCACTGGTCTGGTAAAAATGTCATTCTGGACACGGTCAATGTCACCCTGGTCGGTGGAGTCTTAAGTGTAAGTACACTCTCTTCCCTGTATCTCAAGTTTGAGTATCGATACACGGTGACTGGAGTCTTGAGTGTAAGTACACAGTTACTCCTCCCTGTATTTCAAGTTTAGTATCGATACACGGTGACTGGAGTCTTGAGTGTAAGTACACAGTTACTATTCCCTGTATCTCAAGTTTAGTATCGATACATGGTGACTGGAGTCTTGAGTGTAAGTACACAGTTACTCTTTCCTGTAGCTCAAGTTTTTCCCAGTATCTCAGTCTTGAGTGTAAGTACACGATACATGGTGTAGCTCAAGTTTAGTATCGATCATGGTGACTGGAGAGTGAGTGTGTAAGTACACAGTTATTTTCCCCTGTATCTCAGGTTTGAGTATCGATACATGGTGACTGGAGTCTTGAGTGTAAGTACACAGCTACTCCTCCCTGTATCTCAAGTTTGAGTATCGATACATGGTGACTGGAGTCTTGAGTGTAAGTACACAGTTACTCTCCCCTGTAACTCAAGTTTGAGTATCGATGAATGGTGACTGGGGTCCCAAGTATATTGACACTGAATCGCTGTTAGTGTCTCAAATGTAAGAATACATTATTGTTTAGGTGTCTTATGTGTGCGAGCCAAGGTGACAGTGGCTAGACGGAGGTTAGAGGTTTGAATTCCCATCGTGACTCATGCATGATAGATGCAAGTATAGATTACTGATTGATGGCTTCTTACATGTAAGAACAGATTATTGTTAACCTGTGTCTCAAATGTTAGTTTAAAATTTTTTGCTGATGTATTAAATGACACTACAGATTATTAGTTGCTGGTCTTGTGTGTCAATGTTTTCCCATCTCGTCACAAGTTTTTCATATTTATTTTGTCTGATTTGCTTTTAATCTATTTTTTTTTTTCTTTTTCAATAGACGACAAACACAAGTAAATAAGCACAGATTATTGCATTCATTAGGCTGTTATATTGCGTAGCTTGTTGTTTCTTCTCTTGTAGCACACATTCCTATCCTTTGATGCATGCCGCCAGTCAGTTAGTCCTTGCAACGTTTGCAGTGTCTGTCCACAGGAACGGGCAGAAGTGATCGCCACGTATGCCTTGTGCGGCATCTCGGCGTTTCCCGCCATCGGCTTCTCCATGGGCACCCTCATCCCCATGTGTCCCCCACGGAAGAAAGATGTCGTCGACGTGATCATACGGGCCTTTATCGCTGGCAACCTGGCCAACTTTGCCACTGGCACCATAGCAGGTAGGTGTGTCTGTAGTCAATGGCACCATAGCAGGTAGGTGTGTCTGTGTGGCACCATGCAGTCACTGGCACCATAGCAGGTAGGTATGTCTGTCTGTAGTATGTGGTAGTCATAGCAGGCAGGTAGGTATGTCTGTAGTCAGTCACAGGTAGGTATGTCCATAGCACCATAGCAGGTAGGTGTGTCTGTAGTGTGTAGGTATGTCTGTAGTCACTGGCACCATAGCAGGTAGGTGTGTCTGTAGTCACTGGTACCATAGTCACTGGTAGCAGGTAGTAGTAGCAGTGGCACCATAGCAGGTAGGTGTCTGTAGTCACTGGCACCATAGCAGGTAGGTATGTCTGTAGTCACTGGCACCATAGCAGGTAGGTATGTCTGTAGTCACTGGCACCATAGCAGGTAGGTATGTCTGTAGTCACTGGCACCATAGCAGGTAGGTATGTCTGTAGTCACTGGCACCATAGCAGGTAGGTGTGTCTGTAGTGGCACCTGGTCTGTAGTCACTGGCACCATAGCAGGGTAGGTATGTCTGTAGTCACTGGCACCATAGCAGGTAGGTAGTCTGGCACCATAGCTGTCTGTAACTGGCACCATAGCTGTAGGTATGTCTGTAGTACTGGCATAGGTGTGTCTGTAGTCAGGTATGTCTGCACCATAGCAGGTAGTGTGTCTGTAGTCACTGTCACTGTGTCTGTAGTCACTGGCACCATAGCAGGTAGGTATGTCTGTAGTCACTGGCACCATAGCAGGTAGGTATGTCTGTCTGTAGGCACCATAGCACTGGTCACTGGCACCATAGCAGGTAGGTATGTCTGTAGTCACTGGCACCATAGCAGGTAGGTATGTCTGTAGTCACTGGCACCATAGCAGGTAGGTATGTCTGTAGTCACTGGCACCATAGCAGGTAGGTATGCAGGTAGGTAGGTATGTCTGTAGTCACTGGCACCATAGCAGGTAGGTATGTCTGTAGTCACTGGCACCATAGCAGGTAGGTATGTCTGTAGTCACTGGCACCATAGCAGGTAGGTGTGTCTGTAGTCACTGGCACCATAGCAGGTAGGTATGTCTGTAGTCACTGGCACCATAGCAGGTAGGTATGTCTGTAGTCACTGGCACCATAGCAGGTAGGTATGTCTGTAGTCACTGGCACCATAGCATGTAGGTATGTCTGTAGTCACTGGCACCATAGCATAGGTATGTCTGGTCACTGCACCATAGCTGTAGTCACTGGCACCATAGCATAGTAGTAGGTGTGTCTGTAGTCACTGGTACCATAGCACTGGGTAGCAGGTAGGTATGTCTGTAGTCACTGGCACCATAGCAGGTAGGTATGTCTGTAGTCACTGGCACCATGGCAGGTAGGTATGTCTGTAGCACCATAGCATGTAGGTATGTCTGTAGTCACTGGCACCATAGCAGGTAGGTGTGTCTGTAGTCACTGGCACCATAGCATGTAGGTATGTCTGTAGTCACTGGCACCATAGCATGTAGGTGTGTCTGTAGTCACTGGCACCATAGCAGGTAGGTATGTCTGTAGTCACTGGCACCATAGCAGGTAGGTATGTCTGTAGTCACTGGCACCATAGCAGGTAGGTATGTCTGTAGTCACTGCACCATAGCTATGTCTGTAGTAGCATGTAGGTGTGTCTGTAGTCACTGGCACCATAGCTGGCACCATAGCAGGTAGGTATGTCTGTAGTCACTGGCACCATAGCATGGTAGGTATGTCTGTAGTCACTGGCACCATAGCAGGTAGGTATGTCTGTAGTCACTGGCACCATAGCATGTAGGGTCTGTGTGGCACCATAGCTGTAGTCACTGGCACTAGGCATGTCCACTAGCAGGTAGGTATGTCTGTAGTCACTGGCACCATAGCAGGTAGGTATGTCTGTAGTCACTGGCACCATAGCAGGTAGGTGTGTCTGTAGTCACTGGCACCATAGCAGGTAGGTGTGTCTGTAGTCACTGGCACCATAGCAGGGAGTTGTGTCTGTAGTCACTGGCACCATAGCAGGGAGTTGTGTCTGTAGTCACTGGCACCATAGCAGGGAGTTGTGTCTGTAGTCACTGGCACCATAGCAGGGAGTTGTGTCTGTAGTGACTGGCACCATTGCACGGAGGTGCCACTATGTACGATCTGAATGGGAAGAAAACACTAGCAAATCGCACTTAACCTCCATCACCTGGATCTATACACCTGGTCATGTCGGCGTGACAGGTAACGAATAAACGGACCAACTGGCAAGCAAGGCAACAACACCTGTTGACAGAAGCATGGACAGAGCAGATATCTTTAATGATGTACAGTCTGGGCTAGGGGGTGATGATACATTTCTGACACCAACGTGATTGTATGAGATTGAAGTAGTGCATGCTGAACGACACATATGCCAGCTTCGAGAGGAGACAAAAGACATTCTTCTTCTTCTTCGCCTTCACCAGCTGTAAACTCTGGCAGAAAGTTTTGGTTGTTCGTCCACTTCTGGACTGCAGTCTTGTTCCAGAACCTGAGTGTTGCGTGTGTATTTGTTTTACAGATCTGACTCATCTGTATGCAGTCGGTTGGTTTCTTGTCTCTCAGGCAGATGCACTCCGACTTTGAAGGAAGCTCCAAATTAGTCGACTCTTACGACATGCTTTTGGGTAGGCAGTGGGTCTATTCTTGCTTTCCCTATAATAGGGCCCTGGAACCCACACGGGGGACAGAAGACATTATAACCAGCTCCTCGTGAGAACAGTCAATAAAGGTACCTTTGAGTGGCTGCTGCAGCAGAGGACTGAGCGGGCATGGCAATACCGAATGTGCAAGAACGTTGATTGTGATAATAAGGTGTGGCTGTGGTTCTGCAGGCTTGCATTCATTTCCACTCACAATAGTCAAACAATGTTTTCATCAGGGCTTTGAAGATTTAAAAAAAAACACAAACACTAGTTATGCCGAAATCAAAATGTACATCCAAATTAGACCTTTCAAAGAAACACATATAAACCAAGTCAAGAAACAAAACTATCTGAGGTCAGGACTATCTTCCGAATAACGGTCCCAAATTATCGAGGCCGAAAATATACCCCAACAGGTACTCAGTCACATGTAAAGTGCACACTTCCGCTATTGCTGAAGGTATCTCCCACGCTGCTACACGCGGCGTGGAGTTGGGCTAAACTAGATGGCTGGGACTCACGAGCATATAAAATGAAGGAAGCTGCAGGAGATGCGGTAGCTACTGCTCGTGAGTCCCAGCCATCTAGGTTAGCCCCAATCCACGCTGCGTGTAGCGGCGTGGGAGAGATATTCTCGGCGGTGGCGGTAGTCGCCGGAAGTGCGTAATTTAAGTCGCGGAAGTTCGTACTTTACTTGTGTAACTGAGGCCCTGTTAGGGTATATTTTCGCCTCGATAATTTGGGACCCTTATTGGGAAGATAGCAGAGGTCAGTATTATTGTCCGGTGGACGGTGTATGGCAGACATACAGGACATGATATAGAGAGCAGAGACTGTCTTCTAGAAGTGAAAATCGTGTTTGTTAAATCAATTTAATTGACTATCAGAAAGAAAGCACCGAAGAGCTGTATTGAACTCTTTCTGTTGTATTACAGAAAACAGTTTAATGTGAACATGGAGTTTTGAGCAATGATGCAATAAGATTGGAACTGCAGACAAACTAACAGCCTTAACATAGAGGAGGCTAAACTAGGTCAAACTTCAAAACTAGCTGTTGACCACGTCACAAAAGGACAGCTCCATGGTCTAGATAATAACAGTCTAGTATCGAAACCGATGCCTGAATGGCGTTGAGAAACATTGTTTACTTTTACCGTTCCCATACAATGTAACCTATCCCCTCCTTGGGTTTGATGTTTACTGTTATAGTAGTTTGACTATCTTCCCTAGGTGTGATGTTTACTGTTACAGTAGTTTGACTATCTTTCCTAGGTGTGATGTTTACTGTTACAGTAGTTTGACTATCTTTCCTAGGTGTGATGTTTACTGTTACAGTAGTTTGACTATCTTCCCTAGGTGTGATGTTTACTGTTACAGTAGTTTGACTATCTTCCCTAGGTGTGATGTTTACTGTTACAGCTCCCATGCCATTTAACCTAACCTAACCTGCCTAGGTGTAATGTCTACTTTTACAGTACAGTTTGACCTTTCTCTTTCCAGGGCATGAGGTTTACAGTTCTGATACAGTTTGCCCTAGGCGTGATGTTTACTTTTACAGTAGTTTGACCTATCTCTTCCCTTACCATGATGTTTACTGTTAAATTACAGTGTGACATATATCTTTTCCAGGCATGCTGTTTACTGTTACAGTACAGTTTGACCTATCTCTTCCCCAGAATGAAGTTTACTGTTACTGTACAGTTTGACCTATCTCATCCCCACGCGTGATGTTTACTTTTACAGAACGGTTTGACCTATCTCTTCCCCACGCGTGATGTTTACTTTTACAATACAGTTTGACCTATCTCCTACCAAGGCGTCATGTTTACTGTTATAATACAGTTTGACCTATCTCTTCCCCAGGCATGACGTTTACTGTTACAGTACAGTTTGACCTATCTCTTCCCCAGAATGAAGTTTACTGTTACAGTACAGTTTGACCTATCTCTTCCCCAGAATGAAGTTTACTGTTACAGTACAGTTTGACCTATCTCTTCGCCAGGCGTGATGTTTACTTTTACAGAACAGTTTGACCTATCTCTTCCCCATGCGTGATGTTTACTTTTACAATACAGTTTGACCTATCTCTTACCAAGGCGTCATGTTTACTGTTATAATACATTTTGACCTATCTCTTCCCCAGGCATGACGTTTACGGTTACAGTACAGTTTGACCTATCTCTTCCCCAGTCATGACGTTTACGGTTACAGTACAATTTGACCTATCTCTTTCCCAGGCATGAATTTTACTGTTACAGTACAGTATGACCTATCTCTTCCCCAGGCTTGAATTTTACTGTTACAGTACAGTTTGACCTATCTCTTCCCCAGGCATGAATTTTACTGTTACAGTACAGTTTGACTTATCTCTTCCCCAGGCGTGATGTTCACACAGCATGACGCGACAGGCAACTTCTAGAGTAAGCGGAAAATATGAGGAACAGCACTGTATCTGCAACGCAAGAATGTGTGTCCATACTCTTCTTACTGGCATGTATAGTCTTCGGGGCAAAAAAGGGAAAGGGGAGGGTGCAATATGCCTCCATTGAATCACGTGTTTTATGACCAACAAGCAGTTTATGATACAGACAATCAATCTGTTATCGGTATATGTCATGAAGATGGTAGTGTGCAAACTAAATAGCTACCTTCTACATGGGTTCTCTCCCCTGCATTGTTAATGAACCAGTGAGAATATATGTTCTGTGTTCCGCATATACCCCCACATAAACAGTGTCACAATTTTTTCTCCATAAAGAGTTCCAGTGGCCTGAAAAGTTGTTTTTGTAAACATATCAATCATCGTTATCGCTAACTGTTACTTTTACTCTGGGGAGAAACAGTTTGTGAGCCATTGCCGGATAAGTACAACTGGAAATTGTCATTCTATGCTAATGCCAATACCTTTAATGTCGTCCATCCATATTCTCATTGCTTTCTTATCAAATCTTGTTATGGCTAGCTCCTGTGTTGGTTCTTGTTGTGGCGGCATTCTAACGAGATGACAGAACCATTTAATCTTCTGCTTCACAAGAATTTGGCGCAAGATGTTCTAACAGCCTGTCCGGTAGTATCAATTCTCCCGGTGTCTCTGATGGTTCAGCTAAGCTGCTTGACTCAGGCCTCATATTTCACAGATGTTAGTTTTACGCAGATTAGCGTTTGATCATGTCTGAGTCTGGCACTGGTAGCACAGTGACTTTATGGATTTAATGTTTGTAATATGTGTTTATGCAATATATAATAATAAAAGAATGTTTTGTGAAGCATACTGTTCGTTGGTTTCTCTTTTGTCTGCAAATTTGATTCTAAACCCTCTTTGTTGTCTTGGCAAACAAACCAGATATGTAAGGGTAGCCTAGAGTTGGAGTGACATGTGGTATCTGCGGTCATGAGGACGTCAAGCCGACCTCTGCGAGGCCCCGCCCAGCACCCACAAAGTCACTTCGTTGTATTTTTTTTTAAATTTTTTATTTCTCCTTAAAATAATTTTTTTTTCAAGGGACAAATGGAAGACACATTTATAAGGGCGAGACAACGTTACAAGACGGTGTCAGTAACAAGTACTGCCATGATCTTGGCACTGAGGCTGAAGTCGGAGTTATCTTCCCTCTTCAAGATCAACGTGGGCTTAGAAACAACAATCATTGATTGTATGATTGTTGGAGGATGATGCCAGATAGGATCTATTGGTCCAATGAGCAAGCATTGTGACAGAAAAGTCATGACGTATCCACTTGCCTACTAAAAAAATTGCGCGTCTTAGTTTTCCGCACAGATGACCTCCAACACGCGGACATTTGGTATTTTCTCAAGTTCGTCTCAAGCTATTTACTGTACACATGATATATGTAGGCTTGAAATCAGTGTTTATTTTTTGTCATAATCCACAAAAAGGCACACATACCCACACACACACACACACACACATACACCCCTACACACACATACACCCCTACACACAGATACACAACTCACTGGACACAGGGCATGGCTGTCTACGTGGCCGTGTACCAGCTCAGAGCTCCAGTCTGACCCAAGTGGACAATGTCCAGAACGATCTTCTGCATGGTTCTTGTTGCATCATGATGATGATGACTACCTGCCTGAACTTGAAACCCTGCAAGTGTTTATAACAAGTGGACAAGCTGTGATACCTGCGTCTTGCAGTGTCTGTGTCCCCTTTCTATCAAGGATTGCAGTCCTCAAGATTAACAACTCAAGAACGAGAATCAAACAGCTACAAATGCAGTAAACAATGTTCAACGGTGTAGCCATTAACACAGCTATCGGGTACCACAAACAGCTTACAAAGCAACCTTCAGTGCGTGTTGGTGCGTCCATGACCACTTCAGGGTGGGCCTTGGAGTTGTAGAAAAAAAAGGCACTCAAATATCTGAGTTATCAGGTCATATATCTGCCAGCGATGCAGAGAAATGAAGCAGATGAAAGTGTTGTGACTTCACTGAGACCAGGTGAGTTTGTGTTTCATGTCATTTGAGTTAACCAGCTACAAATAGAGCTGTGAAATATAGCGTTAATATATCAGAGTTTGTGCGTCTATGTGTCCACTTACAAGTAACAAAGTATTCGATGAGTTAATGCATCGGTCCGGGTATGTGTGTATCCATATGTGTATCTCTCTCTGTCTATGTCTGTCTCTCACCATC